AAACTTTATGTTTTAGAGCAGGTTTAGGTTCACAGCAAAACTAAGTGAAGATTCCAGCATTCCCACATATCCCCTGCCCCACACATGCACAACCTCCCTCATTAACAGCGTCCCCCACCAGCATGGCACATCTACTACAAGTGATGAGCCTACACTGACCCATCATCATCACCCAGAATCCACAACGTACATGAGGCCTCACTCTTGGTGTGACCCACATTATGTGGGTTTGGGCAAAGGGGTAATGACACGATTTGTCGTTAAAGCATCACACAGAGTTTCACTGCCCTAAAGATCCTCTGTGCTCTGCCCAGTCGTCCCTCCCTCTCCTCTGCCCTTGGCAACCACTGATCTTTTTACTGTCTCCATCGTTTTGCCTTTTCCAGAAAGTCATGTGTTTGGAATCACACTGTGTGTAGCCTGTTCAGATTAGTTTCTATCACTTAATAATATGCATTTAAGGTTTTTCCATACCTTTTCATGACTTAATAGCTCATTTCTTTTTAGCATTGAATAATAACCCACTGTCTGGATGCACCACAGTTTATCCATCCATCTGCCTACTGAAGGGTATTTTAGCTGCATCCAAGTTCTGTCAACTCTTCATAAAGCTGCTATAAATACCTTTGCACAGGTTTTTGTGTAGACCTAAGTTTTTTAACTCATTTGGGTAAATACCAAGGAGCATAATTGCTGGATCCTAAGAGTGTTTTTTGTTCTGTAAGAAACCACGAAACTGTCCCCCAAAGTGGCTGTACCCTCTTGCATTCCCAGCAGCACTGAACGGGAGTTCCCATCTCTCCACGTCCTCATCAGCATTTGGTGCTGTTGCTGTTTGGGATTTTGGCCATTCTTACAGGTGTGTAGTGGTACCTCATTATTTTAACTTTCAACTTTCTAATGATGTGGGATGGTCAGTATATTTTCACGTGCTTCTCTGCCATCTGTAAACCTTCCTTGTTGAGGCATCTGCTCAGGTCTTTTGCCCATGTTTGTAACTGGGTTATGCATTTTCTTATTGTTGGGCTTTAAGAGTTCTTTTTATATTTTGGACAACCACTTTTATCAGATATGTCTTTCGCAAATATTTTTTCCCAGTCTGTGGCTTGTCTTCTCATTATTTTGCTGTTCTATGTCAATTTTAAAGAAAGCTTCAGGCCCAGACTGTCCACTAGTGAATGTAAGTATCAAAACACTTAAAGAAGAAAAAAATGACAATTCTATATAATCTCTTCATAAAATAGAAGACAGAACCCTTCACTACTCATCTCAAGAGGTCAGCATTACTCTGATACCCAAAACAGATAAAGGTATCACATAAAAGGAAACTACAAACCAATATCCCTGAAGAATGTAGACACAAAAATCCTCAACAAAATATTAACAAGTCAAGTAAAACATGAAAAGACTAATACGTTACAACCAGGTGGTATTCACCCCAGAAATGCAAGAGTAGCCCAACAATTAAAAAAAAAAAGACACAAAACACACTGAATGTAATTCACCATATTAACAGACCAAAGAAGAAAAGCAATATAATAACTTCAATAGCTATAGGAGGAAATTTTACAAAATTCAACATCAATTCATGATTTCTTTAAAAAGCTCTCAATGATGATATTTATTTGAAAGGTATTTATTTCTCTATAAAGAAAATATATTTATTTGAAAGGTATTTCTTTCTCTATAAAGAAAAGATATTTATTTGGCTCATGGTTCTGTAGGCTGTACAAGCATGGTGCCAGCATCTGCTCAGCTTCTGGTGGAGCCTCAGGAAGCTTACAATCATGGTGGAAGGCAAAGGGAAGCAGTGTGTCACTTGAGAGAGAGAGCAAGAGAGGGCAAGAGAATGACATAAAGTTGGAACTTATAATTAAAAGGGAAGCAGGTCATAAAAGATTGGAAAATCCATGGACTGGCCATGTGGTAAAGAAGGAAAAAGCATTTTCAGGAGAGAAATACAAACAGGCTATGGAGCATTGCTAAGTGATTTGCATGCTGAAACGGAGCCAGGTGCTAACATCCAAGGCAATGGGAAAAAGGCCTTGAAGGCATTTCAGAAATCTCTGAAGCAACTCCCCCCATCAGAAGCCCAGGAGCCTAGGAGAAAAGAATGGTTTCAGGGGCCAGGCCTAGAGTGCTGCTGGTCTGTCACCCAGGGAGGCTGCTCCCACATGCCCTGTGTCACCCAGGGAAAGAGTGTTTGAAAGAATTACATGGGGGCAAAAAAAGTGAACCTCAACTGGTATCTCATACTTAATGTAAAAATTAAAATTGATCATAGACCTAAATGTAAAATGTAAAAGATTTTAACTTAAAAGAAAAAAACACAGGGGAAAAATCTCTGTGAGCTAGTATCAGGCAGATTCAATACCAAAAGCATGACCTAGAAAAGATAAAGGCTGATAAATTGGACTTTTTCAATATTTAAACTTTTATCTTCAAAAGATGCTTAAGAAAATACAAAAGCTAGGCACTGACTAATGGAACATATTTGCAAATCACACATCTGACCAAAGTATTTATATCCAGAATATATAAAGCATCCCCAAAATTTAACATCAAGAAAACCTAATTTAAAAAGGGGGCCTATGGGCATGGTGGAATCCCAGCACTTTGGGAGGCCAAGGTGGGTGGATCACCTGAGGTCAGGAGTTCAAGACCACCACTCTGGCTGATATGATGAACCCTCATCTCTACTAAAAATATAAAAACTAGCTGGGCATGGAGGCGGGCACCTGTAATCCCAGCTACATGAGAGGCTGAGGCAGGAGAATCACTTGAACTGGGAGGCGGAGGATGCAGGGAGCCCAGATTGTGTGACTGCACTCCAGCCTGGGTGAGACAGTGGGACTTTCTTTTCCCCAAAAAGAAAACAATAATAATAAAAATGAAAAAATAAAAAGGGGCCTGAAAATGTAATGTTTCTACATTTTGCCAAAAAAGATGCACAGATGGCAAATAAGCACATGAAGGGATGCTCGGGATGACGACTCGCTAGGGAAACACGGATGAACGCCACAGACACCCCTACACCTGTTGGAATGGCTGCAATTACAAAGACCGACCATAGCAAGTGCTGGCAAAAAGGAGGAGCAGAAACACCCACCCATTGGTAGTGGAAATGTAAACGACCACATCCACTCCAGCACACACTGTGGCAAAAAGGCACATTGAATATGTCCAGCACATCACTAATCACCAATCACAACAGTTCCCACTGCACACTGATTACAATGGCTACTTTTTTGTTTTTGTTTTTTAACTTGCAACATCAAGTACTGGCAAGGATGGATGGGAATGAGAACTCTCACACATTGCTGGCAGAAATGTAAAACAGCACAGCCACCTTGGAAAACAGTCTGGCAGTTTCTGATAAACAGACACTGACCATATGATCCAGAAATTCCACGCCTGGGTATTTACCCTAGAGAAACATAACTCATTACCATGCCCAAAACTGTACATGTTTGTAGAGGCTTTGTTCATAATCACCAAAACAGGAGACAAAACATCCTTCAGTCATTGAATGAATAAACAAACTGTGGTACACCCATACAATAGAATACTACTGAGCAATGAAAAGCAATACACTACCGATACACAGCACAATTTGGAGGAATCCCAAGCGCATTTTGCTAAGTGAAACAAGTGAGACCTGCCAGGCGGCATACTGCATGATTTTATTCAGTATTCGACACACTGAATGTCCAAGGTACATGACATTCTAGAAGAGACATGAGTGAGGGAGGGGCTGGCCACAGTGAGTCAACACGAGGGGATTTTTGAGGATGCTAGAATCCCTCTCTCCGGTACTGTGGTGGTAGATACAGGATTCCAGGCACTTGTCAAAACCCATGGAACTGTAGACCACTAAGGGTAAATTAAATGAAGAAGGAGAAAGGGGGGGAGGGGGAGGGGGACGAGGATTACTCATCGTTACTTGGTTCTCTAAGGTTAAGGGAAGCAGGAGTACTTCCTCTCCCTGAAGAAGTTAACAACCTAATCGTGGCTGATTTTTTTGGGGGGCGCTTCTTTCTCGTTCTTTTTTGTATTTTGCTTTCTTTGAAGTTGCTTTTTGTTTTGGGACACCATGTGCTCTGAAGACATAGTCATAGTTGCATTGTGTGAAACTTTAATTTCCCCTACCCCAGATGATTTAGTAGTGTTCTATATTCTCAGGAATTAAGACTTGGCTCCGGTCTCTTTGGACATGCAAATGTCCCAAGCTGCAGTAGGACACGCGTCTCTCTGGAGGCTTTGAGGGTTTTTCTTTATGTTTGGTGTTGGAAATGTCACCAGCTTGTCCAGACATGCACCATTCTCCATTCAATTTGTCCCATATTTGATAAAATTTCAAATCTGAAGACCGTAGTTTTCATTCCGTCCTGGAAAGTTTTCTCCTGCTTCTCGCCTTTGTGCTCTCTTTCTGGAAAATCTTATTTGATGAACATTAGATATTCTGGAAAAATCACGTTTCTCTTACGATTGCTTCCGCATATTCCGCCTCTGTCATTCCGTGCTGTGTGTGAGATTTTCTGTCTCTTCTGTTAACTCCTTCTCGCCTGCCCTTCGGCACTTCTCTGTGTGCAGTGCTTCTTCAGCTGACCAGCAGCACTCATCAGAGGGACCCCAGCTCTGCCCTAATGCTCGGTGCCCTGTTGCCCAGCCACAGAGACTGGGAATTCCGGTCCCCTCACCTGCAACATGACAGAGAGTGCAGAACTTGAAAGACAGGTTGCGTGCTGAGGATAGGTCGTCCCTGAAATGTCTGCTTAGAGGACCAGCACGGAACAGGTAGACACAGGCCGCAATCCCAACCGTGTATTTTACAGGCTTGGCAAATACTGTTGTGTAAATAAACTAGAACTAATGAGGACTTCCAGGGCCCAGCTCAAAACTCCAACAAGGAAAGGGAAGACTCGTGGAGCCTTCAGCTAAAACAATACACGCCATGGCCAGATATAAAAGCCCAGCTGCCCACGACACCTCAGACACTCACACACACACTCACTCATTCACACACTCCCCCAGCTCCACCATGTCCGCCTGCTCCAGCGACCTGAGCTACGGCAGCCGTATCTGCCTTCCCGGCTCCTGTGACTCTTGCACTGATTCCTCCTGGCAGGTGGACGACTGCCCAGAGAGCTGCTGCGAGCCCCCCTGCTGCGCCCCCAGCTGCTGCGCCCCAGCCCCCTGCCTGACCCTGGTCTGCACCCCAGTGAGCTGTGTGTCCAGCCCCTGCTGCCAGGCGGCCTGTGAGCCCAGCCCCTGCCAATCAGGCTGCACCAGCTCCTGCACGCCCTCGTGCTGCCAGCAGTCTAGCTGCCAGCCAGCTTGCTGCACCTCCTCCCCCTGCCAGCAGGCCTGCTGTGTGCCTGTCTGCTGCAAGTCTGTCTGCTGTGTGCCCACCTGCTACAAGCCTGTGTGCTGCGTGCCCACCTGCTCTGAGGGCTCCTCTTCATGCTGCCAGCAGTCTGGCTGCCAGCCAGCTTGCTGCACCTCCTCCCCCTGCCAGCAGGCCTGCTGTGTGCCCATCTGCTGCAAGTCTGTGTGCTCTGTGCCCATCTGCTCTGAGGATTCCTCTTCATGCTGCCAGCAGTCTAGCTGCCAGCCAGCTTGCCGTGCCTCTTCCTCTTGCCAGCAGTCTTGCTGTGTGCCCATCTGCTGCAAGCCCGTGTGCTGTGTGCCCACCTGCTCAGAGTCCTCCTCTTCATGCTACCAGCAGTCTAGCTGCCAGCTGACTTGCTGCACTTCCTCCCCCTGTCAGCAGGCCTGCTGTGTGCCCGTCTGTTGCAAGCCCGTCTGCTGCAAGCCCATCTGCTGTGTGCCTGTCTGCTCTGGGGCTTCCTCTCTGTGCTGCCAGCAGTCTAGCTGCCAGCCGGCTTGCTGTACCTCCTCCTGCTGCAAACCCTCCTCCTCTGTGTCCCTCCTCTGCCGCCCCGTGTGCAGGACTGCCTGCTGCGTGCCTGTCCCCTCCTGCTGTGCGCCCACCTCCTGCCAGTCCAGCTGCTGCCGTCCGGCCTCCTGCGTGTCCCTCCTCTGCTGCCCCGCATGCTCCCGCCCAGCCTGTTGAGGCCTCTGCTCAGGCCAGGAGTCCAGCTGCTGCCAGGCACTTCCCCCAGGGCCAGCCATGCTCAGGTCTTGATCTGGCTTAGGTGGCTACCCCCACCTGGGGACAGGGTCCCCATGTCTCCACTGTGCTGAGGTGACCACCCTCCTTGCTCCCAGGAGCCCCCATCCTTGCTGCTCCCCAGCTGCTGCCTCCCAGCATGTGCCCACCTGCCTGCTGGGCCCCCGTCCTCCCTCCCAGCTTCTCTGCCCCAGGTCATTTGGCCTCAACTTGAGCCTGTCAGCACCTCCTCCTGCTCCCAATAAACTCTCCTTGGCCACCTGATTCTCTTCTCCTGTGTGTTCCTGGTGGGGGGACACATGGTTTGAGCTGACATCGGTCTCCTCCAGCCATGACTGTTTCTAGGAGTGACGGCAGTGACCTAACTCCTCTGGCTGGGTCACCAAGTGAAACTCCGGCCACACCCAGGAAGGCTCAGTCCCTGCTCAGCCCTTCATGCCCTGGGTGTGAACAGGGCTGGGTGGAGACTCCCTGCCACAATTCTCCTGGCTGTGGGGTCAGCTCTCCCTTCCCAGCCAGCTCCCTGCCCCACGCCAGGGCTCCCTAGTGTTCCGGCCATCACTGGAAGGATTTTGCCTTTCCTTTGTCACTTACTGGCATCCACGTATCACACCCTCTTTCTGAAAGCCTCCAGGTGCTTTCAGAACGCTGAAAGCGTTCCCTCTCACGGGGAGGGAGGTGAGTTCAGGTGGCCGCCTCCCACCATGGACATCAAACAGGCTGGGCCACCCTCTCCACTCCCCAAACAGCCAGGGTCACAGGACCCAAACCAGGATAAGTGGTTTTTGCTGAATTGAATGTTAAATATGCAGACCGTAGAGGGTGTTTCACTTCTTTAGAAAAGTGGCTTTCTAGAATATGGCTTCCAGTTTTACACGAGCAAAGACTTGCTAAAACATATATGCAGTCATGCGTCGCTTAATGACTGGGTTACGTTTTTGAGGAATGCATGTGTTAGGAGATATTGTCATTGTGTGAACATCACAGACTGTGTTTACACACACCTAGATGCTGCAGCCCACTGTACACCTGTGTGGTGCAGGCACTACACACCTAGGCTCTATGGCTCCTAGGCTTACAGCCTGACTGCACGTCGCTCTGTAAATGCTGGCCATTGTTGACTGGAACACGGTGTGGCCGCTCATGGCTGTATACGCTCTGTTTTCATACCTGCTTTACCTTCCAAGCTTTATCACGTTCAATTCTATAACTGCCTAGGCTAGGAATTAATGGAATCTAAATGGCAGCTAAGTATAACCCAGTACTTTGTTTCACATAAGTCAAGTAGGAGAGGAACCCACAAAGCGCTGAGGTCTCGCTGGACACTGCGTGTGTATACTTTTTTAAAATTGTGGTAAAATACACATAACATAAAATTTGCCACCTACGCTATTTTCAGGTGTTCAGTCCAGTGGCATTCAGGACATTCATGCTGTGCAAACGTCACCACCGTCCATTTCCAGAGCTTCTTTGTTCCCCCCTAAACTGACACTCTGCACCCATTAAACACTCACTCTCCATCACCCCCTAGCCCCAGCACCCACCACTCTACCTTTTGTCTCTATGAATCTGACCAGTCTAGGGACCTCATATCAGCAGAACAGCCCCAAGGTTCATCCATGTTGTAGCATGTGTCAGCATTTCCTTCCCTTTTCATGGCTGACTAATATTCCACTGTGTGGATGGACCACACTGTGTTTACCCATCCATCCGTTCATGGACACTTGAGTTGCTTCTACCTTTCGGCAATTGTGAGTCAGCTACTATGAACATGGGTGTACAAATATCTCTTTCAATTCTCTTGAGAATGGACACAAGTGGAACTGCTGAATCATTTGGTAATTCTAAGTTTTTGAGGAACTGCCACCCCATATTCCACAGTGGCTGTACAATGTTAGATTCCCACCAAAAGTGTGCAAGAGTTCCAGTGTCTCCACATTGTTGCCAGCATAGCACATTCTGCTCTTTGCGCATTAGCCATCCTAGTGCGTGGGGGCACCTTTGGTTATACCAGGGGCCCATGCTCCTGGCTGAGCCAGTCCCCGCTGCCTGGCACCAGCCTCGCCCCTGGCCCAGCAGTCCCACCCCGCTCACACAAGCCCCACCCCCTCATATCAGCTCCCCCCCCCC